CCGTCGGATTTTTAAAATATAATCTTAAATTCGAAGGATAAAGAAGAGGGCTATTTCCTTACGCCTCCTAATAATTTAACCGTATTTTTGGTAACTCACTTCTTTCGTTCTAATAATGAATTATAGCTAATTATAGATTAATACTTTTATTAGGCCGCGTCGTTTTTATTTATAAAGGGCAATCGATTTGTAGGCCTTTAGGGAGATAAGGTCGTAAATTAAGCCTTCCTAGAATAAATAAAAAAGAAGGGTATTAATATTAATCCCAACTATAATTCTAAATTAAAAATAATAAGGGATATTATTAACCGCTATAGAATAAAGGGTACGTTAAGACCTTTCATCGAATTAACTTTCTAGCTCTTCTAGAATATTATAGTAATTTTAATTTTTATCCCTTTAGAGAGTTTTTTAAAGCTATAGAAGAGGAATATTTAGATAAGTATAAGGATAAGAAGTTTTAGAAGTAGGTTAATATTAAGGAAGTAGGAAATAATGAGATATTCGGTTCGATGTGGGTATATATTTATAAGTTCGATTAAGACAGCCGGTTCCTTAAGTATAAGGTACTTTTAATTATATATAAAGACTAGTAATCTAAAGATGGCGTACGTAAAACGTACGTAGCGATTTGGGTAATTAGGTCGTTCTATATTCTAATAGCTATAGCCGCTTACTTTAACCTCAATTTAATTTAGTATAATATAAAGAATACTTTTATTAATACTATATTTAATAAAGTAGTATTTATAAAGGCCCTCCCTAAATATATTAGGAAAGGTTAAGTGTTCTAATTATTGCGTACGCTATATAGTTTATAGAGATTTCCCCTCCTCTAGTAATAGGAATTTACTAAGATCCTCGTAGCTATAAGTATAAATCCTCTCCCTATAGAGCTTAATATTTTAATTAAAGATAATATATTCCTCTTCTTCTACGTTAATAATATTATTATTATTTATAAATATAGGAATAAGGAGATCGCTATAGTTAATAAAGTAGGAGCTGCTATAGAGAGAAAGTATTAATTAATAGGTAGAGAACTATTGAAATAGTTCTTGGGTATTAAAATTATTCGAGACTAAGAAAAGAGATTAATTTGGCTATTATAGCGTAATTATATTTAGAAGATTGCGGAGAAGGTTAAATATATTAAGAAATTATAATCTATATTTATAATTAAAAAGGAATTCTTATTTTATTAAGATAGTATAGCCCTATACGAAATTTATATGTTTTACGTTAAAATTGGTTCGATTTTCCATATCGCTATTATATTATAATTTAATATAGTTTTCCCAGTCTCTAAATTTATTCGATTTAATTCAAATCCTAATTTAGTATATTATACGGCTATAGATTAAATATTACTCCACTTTCTTACAACTTAAAATTACGTCCTTTAATTAAGTAGTAAAGACCGTTAGGACTTTTATATTATAATTAATTTCTTATTTATAGATAACTCTTTTAATTAAAAGAATTTATAAGCGTTTATACTTAAATTCCTAGGCGTTATAATCAATTAGTAAGTTAATAAGTAAAATATAGTTACAATTTTATTTATAGAGGCCGAATTATTATCCTTTAATTAGGGAGCTAAGGAGGCTATTTACATTCGCTATTTCTTTAATAAGTTTACTTTGGGGTTCGAAGATTAAGAGGCTACGCTTATAGATTATAATAATAAATAAATAATACAATTTACTATAAAGAAGGGAATTTGGCTTGTAATTAAATTTAAGTACGTTAATATATATAAATATTGGTTAAAGTAGGCGTAGGAGAGGAAATTCGTAAACGTAATCTACGTATTTACTAAGGAATAGATTATAAATAGTTTTATTAAGAGCTTCCTTCCCGTAGTATATTTAAGGTCTATAGAATAGTTGGAATTCGTAGAATTATAACGGTTATAAATTTAATTACGAGAATTTAATAGCGGAGATATCATTGCAAGCCGCCCGAAGGGTATAGAGGATTTTATAAAGGAGGATTCAGGTAACGAATCGGTAAGTATGATAATAAGTGTAATAGGGTAGGACTTTTACGAGTAACGGTTTGAAAGCTACTGTGACGAGGAAGTAATTTAGGAATAATATTATTTCTAGCTAGTTTTGGAAGGATTTTAGGGCATTTTAAGGCATATCTGAGTAGATCTGGCGTGGTTTATGTATTAGATCTAAGGGGTTATGTTAGAGGCTAGGGAATCTATAGGGCGTGCACGTGCCCAGCTGGACTGGGATATGCGGGATTTTTACCCAGATGCTAGAGTTTTAAGTCTGCAGAGCCAGTCTTACACACATACACACAATCAAGCCACGTTGAAACCCATATCGATTATTATCCATAATATCACATCCAACGGGTTCGATGTGAGGAAGACGCTACGGCATATAGACCCCCACAAAAACCAGGCCCATTGACCAATGGCAAGTCGTCCAGATGTCGTGATCAGCCTCCTTTTCAACACCACCATCCCAAAGAAACCGACGCACTGCGAACGACGCTGCGATTGCGTCTTCGGCCCCGGTCTGACACCGTTCTTCGGCCATCATGGGTCCAGTCAATGTACCCTAGAGAGGGTGTACGGCCAATGCTGGCCCGTTCTCTGCAGTCGTAGGTGTGGATGGTGTGCTCAATGCCCAGCGTCAGAGTCTAACAAATGGGTTGACTTGCGGAATTACTAATGATTCTAGCTTCGTCCTGCTTCCCTCTGTGCCCCGGACTCGCAAGAGTTGTAATCGGAACCGCGGAGAGCCCCAGATCCTCTTCTTTTATAAGCGGCCGTTTATAAGAAACCACAAATCCCAGCCCCGGTCCCACGCTTGTCTGCCTAGCCCAGTTTATCCCGGATTCTCTTATAAGCCACTCTGCTCCCATTCTTCGAAGCGTAGTTTGCCTGGTCTTGTTTCCATATCCAGTGAATCTTAGCTCCGTGGTCCATCATCCATCAAGGTTGTCGCCGGTCGTTATCCAAAAGTGGTCGTCTTACATATACATCACCACCACTCACTCACCCCAACAGACACATCACCAAGCCTCATCCATCCATCCACCTTCAACATGGCTTCCGAGAACAAGTCCCAGACTTCCACCAGGGCCTCGTCCCCCAAGCTTGACGGCAAGTTTGACGACAACGCCTCCGTCGACTCCGGCTTCGCTTCGGCCAACTCTTCCACCGCCAACCTTCCCTTGATTTCTCTCACCAAGCCTCATCTCGACCACTTGAACAAGCAACTCGAGAACATGGAGGCCCTCGACATCCTCCGCTTCTGCAAGACTCTCTTCCCCAACCTCTTCCAGACCACCGCCTTTGGTCTGACCGGCCTCGTCACGCTCGACATGCTCTCCAAGCTAGCCAAGGAGTCGCCCGACGCGGCCCCCGTCGACCTGATCTTCCTCGACACGCTCTACCACTTCAAGGAGACGTACGCGCTCGTCGACCGCGTGCAGGAGCGCTACCCCAACATCCGGCTGCACGTCTTCAAGCCGGCCGACGTCTCCTCCGTCGACGAGTTCGAGGCCCTCTACGGCGAGAAGCTGTACGAGACCTCCGAAGAACTATACGACTGGATCGCGAAAGTCGAGCCTCAAAACCGGGCCTACCAGGACCTCAAGGTGGCCGCCGTCTTCACGGGCCGCCGCCGCTCTCAGGGAGGCGCACGCGGCTCCATCCCCGTCATCGAGCTGGACGAGGAGCGCGGCATCGTCAAGATCAACCCGCTGGTCAACTGGAGCTTCCAGCAGGTCAAGGCCTACGTTGATGAGCGCCAGGTTCCCTACAACGAGCTGCTCGATAAGGGGTACAAGTCCATTGGCGACTGGCACTCGACTAGCCCCGTCGCTGCAGGCGAGGACGAGCGTGCCGGACGTTGGAAGGGCAAGAACAAGACTGAGTGCGGAATCCATAACAAGCAGAGCAGGTACGCACAGTTTTTGGCGGAGAACGCGAGGAAGCAGGCACAGGCTGCTGCTGCTGCTCCGGCTGAGACGGTTCAGGCTTGAGAGAGAGAGGTAGAAAGAAAAGAGGGGTAGCTGAACGGGAGGACGGGTTTCGTACCCTCTCTGCTTGGCATGGGAGACATTTGGGCCGCGATTGGCATCTTTCTTTTCGGGGCACTGTTTTCGTGGATGCGTTGATGGATGATCACTCCATTGTGGATGGGAATCATCGAAAGTATATCTGTTAGCATCGTGGCGTTTCAAAATGGGCATTCGGGCAGGCGTTTGGGTAGGGGGACAACATATATATCAGCGACTCCTGAGGAGTCCGTCGCATTGAGTTGCATTAGATACGATCTGGGTCTTGGAATTTAAAAGATAAATACCAGCATCGTTATGAACACATCTTTGTCCATGTTTGTGAAGTTGATCAATGTCTGAAGGTGTCCCTGTGTCATGTTTGATGCCTTGAACAATCGGCCATTTGATGTTGTGTCGGTCAGGTGCGCGAGAGCGCCACTGCGTTTTCTGATTCGCAGGTTGAACCCGTTCGCGAATGTTTGAGAAGCCGGTCGGATCATCACAGCGACGACCGCCGGTGACACTGCTAGCCTTGGCGGTGAACAACCACTTTAGCAGGCTTTCAACGTGATTTTGAATTGACAAAGTAAAAGGAAGATGAAAATCGGTTACTTACGGAATGCAAGTCTGATAGCTATGAGCATATGTGCCAAAGACGCCCAAGAGAGCGACATCCTCAACCTCAAGTCAAGGGCACATGCACATTCTCTCAATGTAGTCTAAAGTTATTCCATAGCCAAGTCGAGCCAACGGCCACCTTGATTTGCTTTGAAGCTCCCGATGCTCCTATTCCCATTCCTCCTCAAGATAAGTTTCATCAATAATAACAAATCTTTTACACAATTCCCGGGAGGGTGACTCCTTTAAAACAACCTATAACCCCCTTTAGGTCACCCCCGCCCGGAGCTCAGCTCGTCAGCTAATTCCGCCCAAAACCGGTCAACGTCAAAATCCTCGTCTACTCCAAGGCCCCCCTACTCCTGGTTCGACGGTTCAACGACCTGCTGTGCTGATTCCGATTCCGATTCCTTTGTACCACTGTCACCATCAGCACCGAGTGCAGTGGAAACAAAACCTTCTTCCTTCTGTCCCTCTTCTTGCTGTTTCGCCCCTTCCTGGCTTTCCGCTGGGATGCCCACGGCGGCCTCTTTCGGCTTTTCTTCGTCTCCGGCAGTAGTAGCAGGAGGAGGAGGAGCAGCAGCATCGGCAGTGGCATCGACAGTAGCCTCAGCAACGACGTCGCCTGACTTGGCCGTGTTACCTCCCTTTTCTACCGCAGCTCCCTGTGTCTCCGGCTCTGACAATGGCTTCTCTTCGCTAGCGTTGGTGTCTTTCTTGTTATCCACCCCGCCGTTGCTCTCCCGTTCGGTAGCGGCACCGCCACCGGCACCGCTTGCGGCGCTATCAGCGCGACTCACTTCCTCCTGACGGTCTAGTTCCCTCTCGAGACTACCGAGCAAGTTAAGCCCGTCGTCTTCATCCTCTGTTGTAGCGGTGGGGAGCAGCGCCGGGGAGTCTGGCGGTTGGAGCAAGGGCTCTGCTATCGTGGGTGGAGCATTGTCTGAAAGTTGCTCCTGGAGTACATCTACCTCTTCCACCGTGGTGTCTGCGGGAAGGGACGAGGATTCTATCAGCGCTGATGCTGTTTCTGTGGCCGTGATCGTCGTTTCTGACGTTATTTCTGCCGTGGTAGATGTGGTGGACGTGAAAACTGACGGTTGGGCATCTGGTCGCAACCCTGGCAAGCCTAGTGCAGCCCCAAGATCCTCAACTTTAGCCTCGACAGATGGAGTATATTCTGCAGGCTGTTGTTGCTGCTCGGAGTTGGTGTCGATATCCATTGCGGTGATTCCATTTGCAGCATCCCCTGCATCAGCCACGGACTGCTCAGTCGTTACCACCGTTTCGGAGAGCAAGGCAGCACTGGCAGAGTTGCCTTGTACATCAACCTCCTCCGCTGCAGAGGTAACTTCGGTCTTGACGATGTCTACACCTGTAGACGGGAAGAAAGATCCATCAACCCATGGCACATCTGACCTAGACTCTGGCGGTTCGGTGGGCGATCGGATCATTACGTTCTTCAGCGGACTCCCTTCAAGTCTCGTTGAAGCGAGTGACCCGAGTGTTGGCGGGGCGAGGCTGCTACCAAGGCGCGACCTGGCAGCAGTATCTTCCTCATTAGAGGCACCTCTTTCTTCTGGCTCTTCGATTGAGCTGGGCCGAATAACTTCCGACGCTCCTGTGTCAGTCATCTCCTGATCTTGATCCTGACTGATGCTGGTATCAACACCAGGAGTCTCGCCTTCGGCCATGCTTTCGTCGGCATCACCTTCAGCTTCCTCTTCCCCTTCATCGCCGTCATCGCCGTCGTCATCATCGGAAGGAATCTGTGATGAATCGGCCATCTCGCTGTCCTGGTTCGCACTGTCACCGGTTTCTTCTTGTTTGATACCCTATACCGCATTGTTAGCTTTGCTAGCGCGAGTGTGGTATTCATCAGACAAAGACTTACGTTCACTGGAGTACCCTCGATCTTGACCTCTGCATTACCCGCCTCTGCAGTGGTCGGCTCTGGCCGCGTTGTTGTTGGGAGTGGCAACTTGCCCTTCTTGCGACCTCGGCCGGGGCCCTTCGCCTTCCGCTTTGGTGGAGGAGGCCTTCTCCTGACAGGTGGGGGCGGTGCAGCCTGCGCCGCAACTTCGGCCGCGGCGGCTGGTGCCGGCACCACCGTTGTTGATATGATCTCGCCATCAACGTGTTGTCCCTCGGCCAAGGTGATAGTCTGCTCGTAGGGGTTGCCGGCCGCGTCAATACGACGGACAGTTGCTCTGGTAACCGTCGGTCCCTGAGCTATCTGCACCAGCGTTGACTTTGGCGGTAATGTGATCGTGTTCTTATGGCGCTTGGCTAGATGTGATTCGGCAGGTCCTTCGATGTTGCGTGGTGTTTGCTTCCACGTCCTCACTGTGAACCCTTCAGCAGCCGCGTCGCTCTCCTTCTTGTCGCCCTTGATGTTATCAATATCGGCGTTTTCATCGTCGTCATCGGTCGGGGCAGGTCGCTTATAAAGTCGGCCAGAGCGAGCGGCGCGCAGGAGCTCCTGGCTGTGGGTTGGGAGCAGCTTGGTTTCCTTGGGCATGCCAAAGGGCAGCTCGACGTCCCAAATGTCGTTCTTCTGCGTCGCCTCTGCAGGCTGGGGAGGTGTGACATTAACCCATTCCTGTCTCCATTGGCGTACAGGTAGACCCTCGAAGTCGTCGTGTTCCGGGAAACCGCTGCGAGCACCGCGCCGAGTCTGGGCTGCTGATCGATGGTACTAGTGTTGCGCAAACACGACCGCATAGTTAGAAGTAGTTCGATTGTGACAGCAAGCAGGAACTTGGGACGGGACGAAGGCGAGCAAACTCACGGTGGGCGCCATTGCAGATGCGAGAAGGTCTGTCTACTCAGATACTGAACTCCAGCTGTTTTTTTCTCATGCCCAAGCAAATAAGGACAAAACGCCAAACAAGTCTAACTCCGTTGTGCCGATATCCAAAACCCCAGTAACTCTATCCAAGAGGGAGGTACGTAGATGTATAATAGTAATCGCAAAACACAACGGTCGAGTATGTCGAAAGCAAACACTGAATAGAGGTGGAGGCCGCGTCGGTGGGTGATTGGAAGTCGGTGGTGCAGGGACTAAGTGCTGCTTGTTCTGCCTCTATGCTGTGTCGGAACCTGAATAGAAGGCTGGATGACGATGAACAATTAAGATGGATCGGATGAAAGCGCCTAGATGCTGGACTACGTATCGGTCTGGCGCAACTATAGTTATGTAATTGAGGAAGAGGGGAATGATGGGAAGCCCCAATGTAGCTTCCAAAAGAAATCCTATGCTGCCAGCTAAGAATGTTGTTGATGGGAAGAGGGGAGAAGTCGACAGGTGATGTTGCGCGTCGCATTCAAGTCGCGGCTGGCGGCCAAACTGACACTCTGCGACAGCCTTCAATTGACTCCGGCACTGCGACCTACGGCTTGTGGTCACTGGTCGCGCGCACTGGGCAGCAGCACTGACCATGCCAAGATGGCAATGCTCGATAAAGCAATTCACCTTCTTAAGGAGCCCTCACTGCCAAGCAGATCTCGGATATGCAAGGAACGAGTCGATCCAGTTGCGACAAGGATTCGCAGGTTCTGATGGTGATCCGTAAAGCCGGTTATCATGGCACGACATAACCAAGACAAAATCTACACCCAAGGAAAACCGCCCATAATTGTCCCGAACCGCTGGAAGTTGATCTTGTACCGATTGTATTATCATCCGCCCAACGAGGGGGCCCCGTGGCCACCACCTTTGGGCTCATGTGCCTGCTAAATCAAGCCTCTATCCCGTCATCTTTCCTGCGGGCTCGAACAGGTGTCCTGTTCCCCAATCCTTCACTCATAGTATACACATGGCCTTTTCTTCTTCTCGTGAAATTTGTACAATGCTACAACTAAACAGGGCTTTTCGTTTACAGCCATTTAGTCCCAGCTGAGGTTCAGCTCGTTAGCAAGACAGCTCTTCTCGAATCTGCTTCTCAGGATTATAACTTACCCGGTATCCTTCTGCCTGAGCTTGCCTCCTTCTTTGTCCTTGCCCTGCGAGCTGTCAGATTACCTCTGATATCCTCCACGAATCCGTTCAGGAAGACTTACCGAGAGCCCACCCTCGACGACCAAGCGATCTTGCTGGTAAAACTGGCTAATAACTGTTTGGCGCTAGTCCAATGTCAACTTTTCTGTATACTCCATGCCGCGTCTTGGGTCAAGGGCCTAGCATACCTTGAGCATCTGGAGGTTCTGCAACCCCTTCTGCACAAGCTCCTGCACTTGCCTAGGATCCTCCACGTTCTTGTTTTCCCTGAAAGCGTCTCTTGTGCGGCGCTTGGCGTACTCTCTGAAATTGTAAGAAGAGAACTGGTTTCCCTGGCGCAAAAGCTGACGGTACTGTTGGTTCAAGGAAAGCATGTTAGCGTTCATGTTCTTCTAGCCCAAGTACCGCTTGCGATCCAGGAAAGGGGTGCGTAGAAAGGCACGCTGCGTACCAGCGACAGAACTTTGCCGGCCGACTCGCCGGTCCTTGCGACGGTAGACATATTGATTGACTTCCTTTGCCGTTCCCTGTCTTTGCCTATGTGCTGTTTGCTTCGTATGATTTGGCGCACTCGTTCCTCGTGGAGAAAATCGTGAGTGCGGTAGGAATGGTGCTGCAGAAGTCAAGGCGCCGGCGAATATGGCTCGTCGATCGGTCGTGATGATGGTTTGCCCGTTGCCGTCGGCCGTCAGCTGCGATGGATATGACGGAATCAGATATGTCGGCGAAAGCTCGGACGTCCGCATTTCACAGGTGGTTTGCGACCTTAGCGCGGAGGCGCGGGTGCTGAGTGGCTCGGATATAAAAATAAATTATGCGTGGCATGACCGAGATCTACGGTTACTCAGCATCTCGATAACTGCATTGTCCGTGGCATATGATGGCTTACAACTTCCTCTTTCTTCTCCCAAGTCCATCAACTTCTCGTCCACCACTCCTTCCGCTTCCGGACCTTTGTCTATTTACTGCCACTTCCGATTCCTGGATCTGAATCCCGCCACAGCTCTCATAATGACTGTTCGGCGCCGAGTCTTGCGCCACTGCATATTCATATTGTCTTTTCCAGGCTCAAATGTCTCGCACTCGATCAAATAGCCACACAAAAGCATACTGAACACGCCGAGTACAATGCTCCTTTTTAGGAGGCATTTCCTGGATCAAAGCATCCCGACTAGACTCAGATCCAAGTGTTTCCGGCGTATCACGAAAAATCTTACAGCTTCGTCACGGGCTCTCATAACCGAGCAGCCCGGCAACCAGTATCGGACTGGCCATCTTCGGTTATCCTTACGACAGGATCGGAAAGGATATGGACGTTTCGTTCTCCCATTGAGACGAAATTCTGAGGATTTGGCCAATGATCGGAGGCTCTATATGAGGAGAGCCGTATGGTACACTGACATCCGAAAGCATATCCGGGTCGCTTGCCCGAGCCTATTACCTTCTGGAGGTGCCCTGCCCCCCGCGAGGAATGACCGGTCAGATTCACCATGATACGAAACTTGAGGAGACACCGGAAGGATCCCAAGATCTTGGTTGAAGGGTGTTCGGGTCAGTTTCCGAACGTCATCACGTCACGTCTTGACTCTTGAGAGCTTCACTGCTTTTGACACCCAATCCAACTTGGCAGTTCAAGCAAAATCGACCATCAAACAGCTGGCAAGGAGGCACGACTTTCCCGGCTTATCGCGCGTCAAATCTGATGCCTTCATGAGGCTGGAGTCCTTGGGAATCACAAGGCCAACCAAATGTCGGACACGTTGGGCTCTGCTTCACCCAGATGGGACGCCTGATGGCAGACAACTGCCAAGAAAAGGCCTGCATAGGACCTCGCGATGGCCGGGGCGACAACAAGTTTCCAACTCTGGAGGTTCATGATCTTCATGGTTTCCTGGAGAAGTGGCTTGATAAGGCTGGGCCGCTGCGCCGAAGGAATATCGAGATCCGGAAATGGAAGGGTTGACATGACTGATGGTGCAACCCCGGATTCCATCTTAGATCTCGCTTTGGCTGAGCCTGCCACCGAGATCCAAAGGTCATGTTCTGGTCTCCGCGTTAGCCAGAATATTTCCAACCAGGATGTCTCAAACAGTCGGAGTGAGCCCACACACATACTCAACAGCTTGTCGCGGTTGTACTCGTACACCCTCTCGCAGCATGACAGCTCTGAATACCACCCATGTTACCTGGTTACGAGCCAGAAACAGCGGGAGCGACTGTGTACTGTGAGCAAGTAGGGGTTGCAGCCGGACAAAAATACCTCGCTTTGACAGCGATAACGGCCCTTTCCGATCTGACTGAAGTCACCGAACCCAAGCCGTTGAGAGTTGGCTCCGAGAAATGGCTGAGCAAAAAGAGTTATGATGTGCTCAGTCATGCAAGGAGTGAGCTGCTCACAGCCTTTCGGCCCTTATTTCGCTCGCTTCATAATTCGACGGACACAAAAGGGAATTTGTCATCTTCATGTCAAGCCCGGGGCTGTATATATGATCGTGATCCTTGGCAGGAGTATGCCAGGTGGATGACATCGGAACTTCTACCTCCGTGACCCTAACAGGCAGCGTGGGAGGCTCAGAGTGTCGTTCTAGAACCGGTCTGTTCCGAGATTGTTTATCTTGCGGTCAAGTTCCAAATAGCTTGGCTTTGTTCCGCCGTTCCATTTTGACGGCAGAGCTCCTTCCCCCCTCCCCCCACGTTTTTATGATGACAAGGAGCATAGGTATTTGATTTGGAGGGGCCATGTTCCCCACAATGGGCCGTTATTGACTTCGTCTGTGCTAGAGAGGCTTCAAGCGAGCGGGATATACGACTTTATGGGCAGATATCACCAACTCGAGCACGGAAGTGTCAAGGCCTTGGCTATTGGTTCCTACCCGCAAGGCCGGGAGACTCTTGGGGGAGACTCTTGGCTACCGTTCACTGGCATTCTTCTTCATATGCAAGGACATGACGTCGAGCATCGCACATGGTCCCTTCTCGGGGATGTCGTCCCAATACATTCTCTCCCTAGCCGCCCGAGCCCGCCTAAGGATCTTTCAAGGGCGTGGACGACTGCCGGCCCTTTGCATAGGAGCATAGCTAATCGGCGTCTCTTCTGACGTCGTGAGACCACGCACCTCGGGTTCCTACACTAGTTCGGGAGGACGCCGTCCACTCTGTGTGTAGTTGCGGTGTTTCCGTACGCCTGTGAATCATCGTAATGCATATGCATGGAGATGAAGACGTGGTACGTACAGGATCGAACAGCCAAGCTCCCAGGCCGTGCGCTGATGGGCCCAAGAACTTGATAGATGGGAATGGCACGATCTCCGAAACGTGGACCCCCAAGGGCAAATGGGGAAGGGAATATCAAGCGAAGAGATGGGACATAAGAGAAAGTAGAGGAAGCGGAAATACGGCCCGTTTAGCAAGTGGCCTATCATCAAGCAGCAATGTTTGTTGTTTCAGAAGCTGAGCCCTGGGTTCAGGCGGTTGGGCGGCTGTCGTGAAGCCAAGACCAAAAACGTGCTACCAAACAAAGACGCCGATCCAATCAGAGGGGCGGCGGTTCTGAGGGAACCTCAATTGCCCATGGAGCTTCCCTTTTGAGTTGTCCAACTAACACCACCCCGCAGCATCTTGCGTTTGTTGTATACCAATCCTTTTGGCCTCTTTCCCCCGTCATCGTTTTTACCCCTGAGATTAGGGAGAGCATGGCAGCCAGACGTACGGTCTCTCCAATTGTCCCTTGGGACTGGTCTAACTGGCTAGGCCCGTGGGCTGAGCACCGCTGGACCCTACATCCTTGCCTTGCTGATCCACGATAGGATCTCCCTCATTCCAAGTGCTCCGATTTATCCGATAGTTCTCCTTGGAATGGGGCGAAGCGAACCGAATGTCACAATCTGTTGCAAGGGCCCCGTGCTTTCGGAGGGTTGGAATCCACATCCCGCCACAAGTCCGGTTGGATTTCCGGACGAGAGAAATTGGGAGAAGTGAAGTGTCAAGGTGTGTGAGATCAGACTCCCACGTTGCCCAGGCTGGGGCTCTCTTGTCGGCCCAGGACAGTCCGATTCTGGTTGCTCGTCGTACGGGATTCTTTCCGTACATGCGTGTTCGGCCGCCGAGTTGTGCTCATTGCATCCGCCACTGCTCCAGGGGGGGGGGGAGAGACTTTGTTCGGGTCTTGCTCCGCTTGGGCTTAGGCAGAGGGAGCCGAGTGCCGTTGAGTAAAATTTGTTGGATGGAACAGCGTCATGCCCTTTTGCTTTCTGCAGACACCAAGCCGGCGTTGCTCTTTTAATCTTTTTTTCTGTGGTCTGGTCGCTACTATTTGACCTGTCGCGAAGGTCCATCTCTAATTTCTTTTATTTTTATTTTGGGTACGCGTCATCCCTCGCCTGGTTGTGGAGTTTTTGTGGTTCGTCACTTAAACCGTCGTTCATCCAATTCCCGAAAGGGCTAGAAAGGGCAATCTCAAGGGACGAGAGAATCAGCGACCGACAAACCACCACGCCAGCGGCTCTATTGATCACAGACCTGAATAACGATCGCTTGGTAACAATCAGTGAGTAAGTCAACACTGCCTGTCAATTCGCCATTACGCTCTTTACTTACTCCTCTCTTGCGCAAAGCCGACTACCTTACGTACCTGAATAACGCCCCTACACACAGCAGGGCGGCTGTCATTTTAACATCCTTTCGCTCTTACCCCTTACTCTCATTCACTTTGACGTGGGTCATTTCGAATTCCAAATCGTTTGTCAGATTTGGAATCTACGCAACGGCAGTAAACAGACTGTGCAGTTCACTTCGCCTTTTGTTCTTTCGTTACCGCCGTCACGGGCGCGCGGGGAACTGTTCCCCGGAAACAAGGTCTTTGGTGGACGGAGAGTTGAACAGTATCGAACGATAAACGATTCAACGGTTACCCTTCCCGTCGCTTTCTACTCACCCCAGCGACAACACCAGCCGACACCAAATCAGACGTTGCCAGTTGCGCAAAAGAGACGGCAAGGCACCTTTTTCGAACAGGATCTTCCCAGATTAAATAAGAGGGCCCCTCTGTCGAGCATTTGCCAGCAAGTTTGCAGTGTTTGCCCTGATCGCTCATTCAACTAAGGCTCGCCGGCGCAGCCCATCATCAATCAACAGATGAAAATCGACAATTGCCGACCTACAATACAAAGTTGTTTATCTAGGCGGCACGGGACCTGATCATAGGTCGCACGGGTATTATCAGGCAAAGAAGATCCAAGGTCATTCATTATCCTCATTATCCTTCAGAGGCCCAGCGCATCGGTGCACAAACGACAAACTGCACCTCTACCCCGACGAATCGCGCCCACGATATCGTCGTCAGAGTCGACATTACCTGCCTGTCCATCCTCCCTCGACCACACTTTCTGCTACTCAGCACAACATCCGCCGGCCCGGAGCCACAAGTGGCAAGTTGGTGTTGAGCAAGAGAGGCTCGCCTTGTTTGGAAAAATCCAGCGTTGGTCCAACCAACAAAAGTTTCGCCGAAAGAAAGAGTGTGGTGTTCAAGGTGCGTGCGGCTATTCAGGGCGCCTCCAATTATCAGTCTGACACCTGCAAGCCTAAGAAGAGTGACGTCCTGGCTTTGTTTCACGGCACCGGCATTTACAATCGAATAGTCAGGGACCAAGACACACAAAGGGTTTGTTTGCTTCATCCCCCTGAACCCAGCCCAACGGGCGGCTTGGGCGCTTCACCTGGCCATCCTCGAGGTTCCTGTCTCGTGAGATCGTCCCATCTCGGTTCTGCCCGAGCATGATACGATTATACACTGGTTGGCAACTCATTCGATAATATTCACGACTCTGGGTCACCGCACACTCTTTTTTGAGCGAACCGACACATTTAGAAGGAAGACTACGAGCACAGGCTCCTCCTAGCTTCCTACCCGCATTCTTTACCCTCGTTTGAGGACCTCACCTACCACCGGACCACGTCGAAATTTCAAGTATTACAGCAACGAAAATGGATATCCTCCAGCGGCGCAGGCACGCTGCCCTCTTCAACAACCCGGGCGATCACTTAACACCAGCAATGCAAATACGAAACGAAGATATGTCAGCAACATCTACATTACCCGCAGGGGCGAATCCTACCATCGCCCCCTTCAGCACTGGACTCAACGGGGTCAATCAACATATGAACCTCTTGTTTAGGGACACGCTCTGGTATAGTATGGGGGCGGTCGCCATCGTGGTACTGGGAGTCAGGATAATAGAGCTATCATGGGCGAAGCTACGGTTACTCTCAGCCATGTCTATACCAGGCGATAGGCAACACTTTTGGAAAGTGAAGCAATGGAGCTGGATGCCGGGTGTCAAGAGGAATCTCATCTACGCCCCATTATGGAATAAACGCCACAACCGAGAAATCCGACTCTCGAGCGCCATGAACATGGGTACTCTACCCTCGAGGCTTCACAGCGTCCTTCTCCTCCTTTATCTTGTCAGCAACTTAGCGTACATGTTCGCCCTCAACTGGGGCAACGAGAACAAGTACTCCTTCTTGGCCGAACTTCGCGGACGGTCGGGCACCCTTGCTATGGTCAACATGGTCCCGCTCATCATCCTCGCCGGCCGCAACAACCCGCTTATCGGCCTCCTACAAGTCAGCTTCGACACTTACAACCTCCTTCACCGATGGATGGGCCGTGTCGTGGTCCTTGAGGTGCTCCTTCACATGATCGCGTGGGCCGTCGTCCAAGTAGCCGACAATGGCTGGGCGGGCGTCAAAGAGAAGACGTTCAATGACCGCTTCATCGGCTCCGGAATGGCCGGTACAGCCACATTGGTCGCCATTCTGATCCTGTCTCTGTCTCCTATACGTCACGCCTTTTACGAGACCTTCCTCAACACGCACATCATCCTCGCCTTTGTCTCCTTCGCCGCGACGTGGGTCCACTGCGTCACCGCGACCGTCCCGGGCGGACTCCCCCAGCTCCCCTGGATCATCGGCATCTTCTGCGTCTGGATCGCCGAGCGGCTGGCGCGCATGTTCCGCCTCGCCTACTGCAACTGGTCACGCGCGCGCGGAACCACCACCGCCTTCGTCGAGCCCATGCCCGGCGAGACCTGCCGCGTGACCCTCAGCCTCCCGCGCTACGTCGACGTCCAACCGGGCACCCACGCCTACCTCCGCTTCAGCGGCGTCCGCTCGTGGGAGAACCACCCGTTCTCCATCGCCTGGGTCGAGCACACCACCGAGGACGAGCTGCTGCCCATCACCGAAAAGGACATCGGCGCGGCCTCAAGTTCCTCCTCCCGCCTCAGCGTCAAGAAACCCGTCGCCACCTCCATTTCCTTCGTCATCGGCGCCCAGTCGGGCTTCACCCGCCAGCTGTACAACCGCGCTGTAGCCGGCACCGCCGACCGACGACGACCCGGTATCACGATCCGCGCCGCGTTCGAGGGCCCTTATGCGGGCCACCACTCGCTCGACAGCTACGGCACGGCCGTCCTCTTCTGCGGCGCCACGGGCATCACGCACCAGCTCTCGTACCTGCGCCACCTGGTCGAGGGCTACGCCGACGGCACCGTGGCCACGCGGCGCGTGGTGCTGATCTGGGTCGTGCGCGACTTCGAGTCGCTCGAGTGGATCAGGCCGTGGATGGACGCCGTGTTGAAGCTGCCGAGGAGAAAAGAGATCTTGCACATCAAGCTTTTCGTGACGAGGCCCAAGAACCCGAGGGAGATGGCGAGCGCGTCAAGATCAGTGCAGATGTTCCCCGGACGGCCGAACATACCGATGTTGTTGGCTAAGGAGGTGCATGAGCAGGAGGGGGCCATGTGCGTGACGGTGTGCGGACCGGGAGGGTTGGCGGATGATGTGAGGCATGCGGTGAGGAGTTGTCAGAGAGAGAGGGGGACGGTGATTGATTTTGTGGAGGAGAGTTTTACTTGGTAATTTCCTTTTCCGTTTGTCACTTTTGGATCTAGGGAGAGGGTTTTTTCTATTTTGTTTAGGGGGCATTTCTCTTTCTCTCATCTCATTTCCTTAGCTAGCTGCTTGCAAGCTACCTGACCACGTACTGACCTAGCATGGCGATATACATCATCTCCGCAGAAAGAAGCGAATTTTTTTGGCTTTTTACAACTGGTGTAAAATAAGGCAAAAAGGAATAGCTTCTTTGTAAATATCGATCTGCGCCTGCTGTACATACCTACATAGCATCTCTCATGATAACCACTACTGCCTACTCATCTCTGTAGTGAAACTATATGTCATCCTCCGTGTCTTTGTATCATCCGTTGAGGATGCTGATATGACATGCTACTTACTTCCGCCCAGAAGGTAACTTGATGTTGGTGGAATGTACTCGCCGATATTGAGTCTTCAGACAGCAAAACCAGGCACACGAAGTCCCGTATCTGTGCTTCTAAACTTTACAAAATCAGACCTTAGCATCAAGTACAAGCACTTGGTGTAGTCACATTCCAGAAGAACGTAGCAGGCGTGAAGATTCATGCGGATGAGGCAACACTACTCTGGTGAGGAACTCCCGTGTGATCAACAACCGATCCCCAGGTACTGGACATCAGTTCGTACATTCATAGCTGCTGGCAATGAATATGCCATGGCGTAGTACATACTCGTCAGGGCTTAAATCCCCGGTCCTCCTTCCCTTTGGTGCAAAGGGAGGGGAAGGATGAATTTCTAGCCCTGACGGTTTCATCTTCTTTTTGGTCAGTTGAGTCAGCGATCCAAGAGATGAGGAAGACTTGGTGAGAATTTGGGAATAGGGTATTCTTAACATGGCTTGTTGTGCATGAAAGGGCGCGAGACACCTTGCTGGCGCCGCATAACACTGGATTGGCATGACGCATGGCTTCTGGCGGCGTCACAGCGGATGTGCACTAACTTCCACGCTAGGGAGTAACCCCGCGGGGACAGTTCGATGTTTCTTTCCATGATCTTTTCTTCGCTGCTGAATCCGTGTTTTAGGAAGAAAAAGGACGACTGTGAAGGCCTGTCGAAGATCGGCCGGCTTCCAACGGGTTTGGAATAAACATTCCAGACAATCGCATGATTCCCCTGGCAACGAGCAGTCCGATGATCGGTGATGATACATTTGGCGGAGAAGGGAGTGGGGCTCCTGGAATGTTTCCCCTGTTATTATTGCGGCCTGTCCCTTGTCTGGCCATTGCGCAAGCCGTCCAGCCCGGGATCCCCGTCGTTGATTCGGGTCGGGATGTCGTATGCAGTGGTATGCCAGCGCCGGACCCCCGAATCGGAGGACTGGTCGTCCACTTGAAACATCTCGAAGTAAACACAGCTTCCTCGGGCCCGGGAGGCCGGACGAGCAACTGGCGTGTACAGTGGAGAGACGGCTTTAGAGCGGCTTTGGCTGTCCAATTGATGTGTTGTCCCTGGAAAAGTTTGCTAGAGATTCGTAGCCAACGAGCCAATCCAGGATGGCCAATTCGTGTAAGACGGGACTTGGCGGCAGAGGGAAGAGGCTCACAGAGAGGATCGACGACGAGTCGAGGACTCACTCTGTTAGGACTCAGAGGAGGGGTGATTATTAACATCAGCTAGGTCTAGGCCGTCTTTATGTCGAACGTCTGTGCCCAGCTTGACGACAGCAGACATGAAGACACCGACCCAACCGAAGACGTTGTGTGAAACCAGAATCAGTGGCGATGAACATACACTACATAGCATACCCGGCGGAATACTGTACTGCAAGGAAGAGTCAGCTTGGACATTTGCCTGACATTCAAGAAGTCCGTCCGGGAGAGTGGGGCAACCGTCTCGTGGTTGTGGGAGTTGAAGCTTGGCCCCGGGAAGATCTCCCCAGCAAGGCCCATCACGCCCCGTTACCGGAAACGCGCCGGTTGCTCTTCCAAGACGGGAACCAGGTGGAATGACTCAGAAAACTTTCACAAGTGCTGGCGCCGAGTTAGGTTGTTTGTTATAATACTGGACCACGTATCATCTTTCGTCAGCCAGATTCTGGGGGAGTATCTTCGTTCTTGAACTTTGCAATTGGGGACTTGCCATTGGGATCTTACATACCTTCACCCCACTTTCCGTCCTTCTTTCTACCGAAGCACGTCAGTCACGACATCATTCTTTGATCTTTCCCATCTTCTGTCCAAACCGCATTGCCTAGCCACCCACCTCGCACCGTATTCAAGATGCCCATGTAAGCACAACATACAACGTCGAGTCCAGCTCGGTGACCCAAGTGTCACGGCGCACACAGATTCTAACAGACATCGTGTCTCAGGCTCAAGGACCCCTCGACCAAATACAAGCCGTTCCCTCCCCTGAACCTTCCGGACCGGCAATGGCCCAACAAGACTATCGTCAAGGCCCCGCGCTGGCTGGCCACTGACCTTCGCGATGGTAACCAGAGTTTGGTTGACCCCATGGTACGCCTGCCGCCTCTCCTGCCTACTTGCGACCTGTCTCTTGTCACCAAGATTGGCTAACCCTCCCCTCAGAACGGCGACCAGAAGTGGAGGTACTTCCAGATGCTCACCGAGCTGGGCTACAAGGAGATCGAGGTTTCCTTCCCTTCCGCCTCGCAAACCGATTACGACTTTACCAGACGCCTCATCGAAACTCCCGGTGCCGTTCCCGACGATGTTTGGCTGCAAGTTCTGTCGCCCTGCAGAGAAGATCTCATCCGGCGCACAGTACAGTCCCTCAAGGGCGCCAAGAAGGCCATCATCCACATCTACTTGGCTACCAGCGAATGCTTCAGGCGAATTGTTTTCGGTTTTACAGAGGACGAGAGCGTCGAGCTGGCCAGCAAGTGCGCAGCCCTGGTCAAGTCCCTGACCAAGGACGACCCCGAGATGGCCGGTACAGAGTGGGCATTCGAGTTCAGCCCCGAGACCTTCTCCGATACCAGCCCCGAGTTCGCAGTACGCATTTGCGAAGCGGTAAAGGCCGCCTGGGAACCCACGGTGGAGAACCCCATCATCTTCAACCTCCCCGCAACAGTGGAGATGGCCACTCCCAACATCTATGCCGACCAGGTGGAGTACTTCTGCCGCAACATTACCGAGCGCGAAAAGGTGTGCATCTCGCTCCACCCCCACAACGACCGCGGATGTGCGGTTGCCGCTGCCGAGCTGGCCCAGATGGCCGGAGCCGACAGAGTGGAAGGTTGTTTGTTTGGAAACGGAGAGCGTACCGGCAATGTCGACTTGGTTACCCTGGCTCTCAACCTCTACACCCAGGGTGTCTCGCCCAACATTGACTTCTCCGACCTTGGCAAGGTGATCAAGACTGTGGAGGAGTGCAACAAGATTGAGGTGCACCCTCGTGCGCCTTACGGCGGTTCTCTCGTCGTGTGCGCTTTCAGCGGTTCCCACCAGGACGCCATCAAGAAGGGCTTCTCCCTGCGCGAAAAGGAGGGCAAGGAGTACACCGACTACTGGCAGGTACCCTACCTTCCCCTGGATCCCAAGGATATTGGACGTGATTACCAGGCTGTTATCCGCGTCAACTCCCAGAGTGGTAAGGGCGGCACTGCCTGGATTATCCAGCAGAACCTCTACCTTGACTTGCCCCGTGGCCTGCAGGTTGCCTTTAGCAAGGTCGTTCAGAGAATTGCCGACGAGAAGGGCCGTGAGCTCCTCCCCACTGAAATCACCGATCTGTTCAAGAAGACCTACTACCTAGATGAGAACCCGCGCTTCAACATTGTCGACTATTCGATCAACCCCGACCGATCCAGCTCGCCGGCGCCGCCCGCTCTGGGCAAGACCCAGGACACCAAGAACCTTGGACGCGTGTTCGAGGGCGTCATTTCTATCGAGGGCCACGAATACAACCTCAGAGGACGCGGCAACGGACCTATTTCATCCTTGGCCAACGCCCTCAAGAGTGTTGGCGTGGATTTGGATGTCCAGGACTACAAGGAGCACGCCGTCGGCCGTGGTCGTGATGTCAAGGCTGCTACCTACATAGAGTGTACGGCAGCCGGACAAACCGAGAAGGTCTGGGGCGTCGGCATCCACGCCGATGTTGTACAGAGCTCTCTGATTGCTCTTCTCAGCGCGGCTAGCAACGTAAGTTCACCTATCATCAACTCCTTGATGCTTGGTTTCGAGAACAATTACTGACTCCCCTTTTGATACAGTTCGTTGGAAGCCGCGTTGGTAGCCCGATCATTCCCAAGCCTGTTGCTGACAAGGAGGTCAGCGGTGACGTGAACCTCAACGTTCCCAACGGTGTCAATGGCAAGAGCATCATTCAGGCGCTCGAGTCCCAAGCGGACGAGATGTGAGTTTGTTGGCTTTACAAGTAATGAAATGTAATGAAGCATTTGCATAAGGGTTGGTGAACGGTGGTTCTGGATGGGCTGGGAAAAAGTTACTCTTTCTTGGCGGTAACCAAGATCCTCAACAAGGGGGTTTTGTTTACTGCTACCATCGACATTTGAAAAAGGGGTTTGTTTTCGCATTTGTTTACAGATACCTAGTTGGAACGCGTTGATTTTCTTTGGGACGATCTCACGGGTTCACGTTTTAATAAGCCTAAAAAAGGGGCTAGGGGTATTGCTTACACCCAAAAAGAAAACATCTGAGTGGTTACCGTAACCGGGACTACAAGAGATGTCAAATCAACAGATTGCGAACATACACCCGGGAATACAGGACAACTGCTACAGTAACTGAGAGTGCAGCAGGGCAGCATGCCATGTTGACCTGATCTGTCTGGCCCCAAGAATGAAAGATATCAAAATCACATGCTTTGTGCTGTTCTGTTAAGTACTCACCTCATGCATTCTTTGCTTGCTGCGGCCATGTTCCCAAATTTCCCGACAATGTTGCCTCTTCTCACTTTGTTGCACGGCCTTCAGTTTCAAGTGAAACACCGGGGAAGTAGGGGGTGTGCTACTGAGTAAGGATAGCCTACCTATTGAAAAGAAAGCATCCAGAACAACA